CTGAGTTCCAACAACAAAGCTTTAAATTTCCTTGACTAGAGCTGCTTAAGTCTTTTGTGGAAAAACAAAGAACCCAGGTGAGAGATGCTGAAGTCTTTGGTCATGTAATCTTAAACGAGAAAGCCTAGAGTTTGTAATCTAAAATAATGCTCCTGAGAAAGCAGAATCCTTTCTATTAAAAGCTTATAGCTTTTCCATTGTTAATTGAAAGAGATTGGGAATTATAAGGAATAGTGCCAGAATCTTTTAATCTATTTTACAGTAGCTAGTACTGTATCAAATATAAAGTTGGAATTTATTCATGTCATGCATTTACAAGCAAAGAAAATGAACCATAAATGGTAGTCTTACAACTATTATCATCCATTGTTATGCCATGTATGCCTCTCCCAAGAAACCAAAGGAAGGTATTTATAATCTCTGGAGCACTTGCTCCTTAAAGGCCTTGCTTGCAGATAGGGGCTGAAAATAGTAGATATACTAAAGGACAGACCAGAGACAAGAGAAAATTTATCTGAGCCAAAACAGATTAAACAAACGATACTTTATACATACATGCACATCTAGGCACTTGCTTTAGAAGAATAATTTTCATATTGATTTGAGATGTAGTGTGCCACAGGAGAACGAACAGCAGACCAGGAGTCGAGAATCCTAGGTTCTAGTTGTTTTCAATCACAACTATTTGTCTAACTTTAAGAACATTATTACACCTCCTTGGTATTAAGTTCCCTTGTCTTTAAAGTAAGAAAGATGACTTGATCTCAAAGTTACCTTCTTATTATAATATTCTACGTAGTTCATGTATTATACTCTAGAATTCCTTCATAGAGTTACCCTATGTCTATGACCTTTACAACAATTACTTCCAGTATTTCTGTATAGGATTCACCCTTAGTTTTCTGGGATTATTGCTGAGCCTTCTCAGACATATAAAAGTAATTTTAGAGATGTTACAGTTCTAAACTGCTTCATAGATTCAGTGGTTCTGGACCTCTTAGGAAACATGGCCTTTCCTCCATGGGCTTCTATACTTGTAGATGTCAGAGTATTTGCAGAGGCAGAATATTTGAGATTTCAGAGAACTGTAAAGGTCTTTCAGTCCCTCCTCCCATCCCCGACACTTTTCCTACTCAGTGATTGACAGAGGAAATTCGATAGTTAGAGGTACATCTAGCTGAAATCAAAACAAACTATGAGAGTTTGTTCATTAAAATGCAAACATCCTTGGTAAAGATAACATTTAAAGTGCAGTGAGAATGAGTTTCTAATCCTTTTTCTGGGGAGAAATCTCTTACTTTCAGTAAGGCCATATTTGACTCATGACAATTCAATTTATAGTGATTCACACTTAGAGTACTCTGCTTTTTATACTCATGTTGTTTATTAGGGCATTTATGATAGAGAGTGATCAAATATGGCAGTCAGTTCTATCATAAAACATATGAACAAAGTGCTGTGGGAACAGGGAGGAGGGGTACTTAGCCGAGCTAGGGAGGGGGGAAGTGAACATCAGAAATGTCTTCATGGAGGAGAAACTTAAGTTTAATCTTAAAGAACACGTAGTAGGGGGAACGGGGAGATGTTGGTCAAAGGGTACAAACTTTCATTTATAAGATGAATAAGTTCTGCGGGTCTAATGTACAGCATGGTGACTATAGTTAATAATGCTGTATTGTATACTTGAAATTTGCTAAGAAAGTAAATTTTAAGTGTTCTCACTACACACACACATACACACACACAAAAGGTAACTGTGAGGTGATGGATGTGTTAATTAGCTTGATTGTGGTAACTGTTTCACAATATACATGAACATCAAATCATCATGCTATATAACTTAAATATATACAATTTTTGTTTTTCAATTATACCTCAATAAAGCTAGGGGAAAAAAAAAGAATACGTAGTAGCCAGGCAAAGAAGTAGGATAAAGTTGTTCCAAGCAAAAGATAGTATATGCAAAGGCCTGGAGGTAAGAGAATAAAAGGTAAGAAACAGCGTGGTAGGTTTAGGGAAAAGCAAATTCTGATGCGAAGGAATTAAGTGAAGAAACTGAAAAAAGTAGGAAGAAATTAGATTATTAAGGGCCTTATATGACATATCAAAGATTTTGGATTTTATCTGGAGGTTTTGAGGAGAACTACTGCAGAGTTGTATGCAGAGAAACGTTAATAATAAATTTGCCATTTGAACAGATTACTTTGGCATCTAATTGGAGAAAAGACTGGGAGGATGCTAATAGGGGAAGGGGAGCCTGTTAAAATGATCCAGGAAATTAATAATAAAGACCTTAACTGATGGCAGTGGAGATAGAGAACAAAGGATGGATTCAGGAGGAAGTAGAAGAAACAAGTATTGTAGAGGTAAGGAAAATAAGTTTAGTGTAAGTCATGTTAAATTTACTAGTAGCAGGTATACATCTGGTATGAGTTTGGAGCTCAGGCAAGGTCTGGGCAGTATTAGAAATCACTTCATAGGTGGTATTTGAAACCACTGGCACGCATGAGGTCATCTGAAGTGAATGTGCAAGATGTGAAAAGGGCCAAAGACAAAAACTCTAAAGAAAGTTTTTATTTAAGGAATTGACAAACGAAGGCAAGCCTACAAAAGAGCCAATGAGGGAGCCAAGTACCACACTGTTTACCTGTCCCTCTTCTGCCCTCCACAGTAGGATCCATGGGGCAGGAGTTTTGTTTCACTCATCTTTGTACATCCAGGACTTAACACAGTACCCGACGTTTGGTAGATGTCTAACAAATATTTGTTGAACAAATTTAATTTTGTTTCTATATATGGTGGTATTTTCTAAACACCTAACTAAAGTGCCTAGGAGGTTTGATTACAATACTCTTGCAGTAAACATGGAGCTTGATCCAATTCAAAAGTTGAATGTAAACCTCACTATTATTTTTCATCTTCAGGGGTGGAAACACTTGACAAGGAAGTCAACCATCCACGAAGTGTTTGCTTACTTATGAGTGACAACTGATTTGATGAACAAATGAAGGGTAAACAAGCACATGAGGGGAAAAGAGAATCCATCTGACAGTATTTTTTTTTCTAGAGGAAAAATAGAAATGGCCATTTCCAATTGTTTTTTCCTTAAAAGGATTATAATTTCTGTCTAAATGTGGCTTGGCAAACACAGTGAAATTTTTCTAAGGACTGATGTTAATGGAAACTCCCCTGAAATTACAAGAGGCCAGGGATGGTTGATTTATTTTTATAACAGGTAAAGTATTATTTAAATTTTGTTCCCCACTTAAGTTTATATTCATATTTTCTAAAAATGTCTTGGTGTGGACTGATATCAAAAAATATCTGAATATTCTGTGTTTAGTAATAGAAAGAAACCTATTTCATTAAAATTGATTTCTGAAATCTTATAGTTAATTCCTGACTAATTCTCCACTCTAGTCAGTTTTCTAATTTTTATTTCCTTTAATGAAGAGTAAAACCAAAACAAAAGAAAAGGTTTAAGTCTAATGAAATATATATCTAAAAGAATGTAAGTCAAAGATGTAAGATAAGTATAAACTATATAAAAATATTTTTTTTCTAAGTAGGGTCAGGGACCAAAGAGCTAGAAATTTGACATTTAATATTTCACTAGGTTAGGCCTTTTAATTTTAACATAATTTATTATGTTATCTACTATTACTTTTTATATTTGAATACTGGAAGAACAGCACTATCATGTAGTACTACAAAGAAGAACATAAGTCTTTTTTATTTTATTTTTTTTGAGGAAGATTAGCCCTGAGCTAACTGCTGCCAATCCTCCTCTTTTTGCTGAGGAAGACTGGCCCTGAGCTAACATCCATGCCCATCTTCCTCTACTTTATATGTGGGATGTCTACCACAGCATGGCGTGCCAAGTGGTGCCATGTCCATACCCGGGATCCGAAGAGGCGAACCCTGGGCTGCTGAAGCGGAACGTGCAGACTTAACCACTGTGCCACCAGGCCAGGCCCAGAACATAAGTCTTGAGGCTTAATCCTATTCCTTTTCTGCTGTGTCTAGTTTCCCTGCAGAAAAATTAGGGTGTTTGTATAGATGCTCTCTAACGTTCACTGAAGTTTGAATATTTTATGATCTATGAATAAAGTCCTTTATTGGTAAGATTAATCCTTTTGTGCTATTTTTATCTGCAAAATAAAACAATTAAGACGCCATAGTTTATTCAGATTGCACTAAATACACCTTCTATGCTGAATTTTTAGAAAGGGAAATGGTTGATTAAAAACCAAAAAAACTGGGGAGCAGTACCTTTCCATGGTCTTTCCACAAGCTGGCCTCAACCTGCTACTAAACTACGAGCAAAAAATGAGAAGATAGATGAAGCAGAAAAACTGAGATCAGATTGGTTGCTCAGTGATCCATGGATAAATTAATGAAGCTTTTACATTTTACATTTAAAAACATGTTTTCCAGAAAGGAGACACATTTGTCATCTCCCATGTCTGAAAGGATATCAGGCAGACTCAGTTAACTATTTTTGTCACTCAGTGCTGATAGTCCTGACTTTAGTTTAGAGTATTGGTATTTTGATGGACAGGAGAACCAGTTGATTTTTTCCATTTTTTTTTTCTCCTCAAAGCCCCAGGACACAGTTGTATATCCTAGTAGTAAGTCATTCCAGCTCTTCTATGTGGGATGCTGCCACAGCATGGCTGGATGAGCAGTGTGTAGCTCCACGCCCGGGATTCAAACCAGCAAACCCTGGGATACAGAAGCCGAGCATGTGAAGTTAACAACTTGGCCACGGGCCTGGCCCCTTCATATGTTTTTTTTTAATGAAAAGGAAATTTTATGGGTGCTTTACTCTGTATACCATTAAGACTAATTTTAGAGTTGAGTAGAAATAAAAAGCAAAAAGAATGATGGTAGTAATTGTTAGAATGGTTAATAAATTTTCTCTTTCAGGAAAACTGTGTATTAATGTTATATAAATCTTACTTAGAAAAAAATGAAAAGAAAAGGCAACGAGTAAATACCTCGGTAGTTGATGATTTCTGTCCCAAGCACCGGAGTCATCTCCAGGACTGTGATGAAGGCTTTGTCCATAGACGTTAGAGGAAAAGGAGACATGCGATGTCTTCTAGCCACCTTGGTGATATCAACAGCACTGTGACCTAAACAGGAAGATAATTAACTAAGACTATGATGCTGAAACACTGATTAAAAAGTGGGAATGACTTTAACATTAAACATTGGAACATTAAATCAAGTTAACGATGCTACATCATGTGTCAAGACTTGGTGAAATTTAATGACGATACTGGCTAATCCTTTTTGAGTGTTAACCATGTGTCACAGAACTGTTCTAAATAATCTTCACAGCAACCTTATGAGGAGGCATCCTTATTAACAGATGAGGAAAGAGAGGTTTACATATCTTGCTCTAAATCACAGAGCTAGTAACAGAAGCGCCAGGATTCAAACGTAGGTAGCTTAGCTTCAGAGTCCATGTCCTTAACCACTATACTAAACTTTGAACACTTAATGAGTTAGTTAGTAAAATGAAACACAGTCATGCACCACATACTGATGTTTCAGTCAATGATGAACCACATATATGATGGTGGTCCCATGAGATAAGTACCACATAGCCTAGGTGTGTAGTAGTCTATGCTACCAGGTTTGTGAAAGTGTACTCTATCATGTTTGCAAAATGACAAAATCACCTAGTGATGCATTTCTCAGAATGTACCCTTGTCATTAAACAGTGCATGACTGCATCCAAACTTGAATTTACTTAAAATTTCATAGGAAATTTTCCTTCCTCTTAAAAAAGTCATAGAAATAGATTATTATTTAGCTACTCATTCCCCACCTAACCTTATCTAGTCCCATGGCATTAATATCACCCACACTCTAAAGCACCTCATTTTATATCTCCAATCCCAACGCCTACCTTGAACTATAGATTTGTTTGTCATTCAAATAACTGGTGGATAACAATATATATATCCAAATTTATAAATCATCCAACATGCACTTGGATGTGTAATAGGCAATTCAAACCTAATATGTCCAAAATCAAACTCTTGATTACCACCTTCCTATCCAACCCATATGATCTCTTATTCTCTTGTAGTTCCCATTTCAGTAAATAGCAACTCCATTCTTCCAGTTACTAATCCAAAACTTCTCTTTTCATCAGAACCATATCTAAACTACCTTTGAAATATATCTAGAATCTGATCATTACTCACTATCTTCACAACTACTACAATAGTTGGAACCATCATTTATTTCCTGGGAAAATGAAGTCTCCTCACTGGTTTCCTTGCTTCTATCTTTGTCCCACTACAATCTACTCTCCATTCAGTAGAGTGATCCTTTTATATTGTAAGTTGGATCATGCTAATCTCTGATCACAAGCCTCCAATGACTTTCCATTTCACTCAGAGAAAAATTTTTGCTATGGCCTACAAAGCCCAACATATTATGGCCCTCACTGTTCTCATCTCCTATCATTTCCCATTTTGTTCACTGTGCTCCAGCCATACTGGTTTCTTGCTGGTCCTTGAACATGCCAAATTTATCTCTCTTCAGGATCTTTGTACTAGCTGTTTCCTCTACTTGGACCATTCTTCCCAATATTATGGCTCCATCCATCTCTCATTTCTTTCAGGTCTTTGCTAAAATATCACGTTATTAGAGAGGCCTGATGTTAAACATCCTATATAGAATATTATCTACCATGACCCTCCATCCTCCTTACCTTACTTTACCTTTCTTCATGGATATACATATACACATATATATGGATATTCATAACCATATTCTATAGTCTATATAATATGTATTTATATTTATTTGTTTATAGCCTTCTTCTTCTAAGTAGACTGCAAGCTCCATGAGAGCAGCTACTTTGTCTTTTTTGTTAATCATTGTTATCCTCAATACCTGGAACAGTACCTGGCACATATTAAGCAATAAAAAAATAAATATTTCTTGAATTAGTAAATGAATCATTTAATGACAAAGAGGGACTTCTTAGAGAATTATATCTTCATGCATAAATAACTTGTCCTGTTCTTTGGAATCTTAAAGGTCTACAGCCCAAAGGGAAAACAGAAAAGGAGTAACTGCAAACATTGTTGCTTGGCTATCTTAACTGTTATCCACAACTCCCTTCTTCCCCAGTCACTTTGCAGCTAGAGTGGCCATATGATATAGTTCTGGCCAGTAAGATGTAGGAAGTCCCTGGGGCAGGTATCCTCTTACAAATAAAAAGATGAAGAGATAAAGCTTTAACAAGAGAAAGCTTTTGCCCTTTTACGTTCTTTCTACTAGGCACATGGTTAGATACTGGGAGGTGTCGTAGCCATTTTTCCACCAAGAGGATGGAAACCCACACAGTAAATATGGAAACATGAGAAGAAAAAAGAGCCCGAGTCTCTGGATGACAGTGTTGAGCTGCCATACAAGCCCTAGACTGCCTGCTTCTAGACTTTTGCTAAGTGAGACAAATAAGCTCCTATTTCATTAATCTACTTTATAATGATTGTATATATCCCTCGATCGTCTGTAAGTTCCTGGTCACTGCAATTTATTGAATTTAGTACTCCTACCCCAACTCGAGCAGCTGCTTCAGACATATTAACTGAATTGGCTAAAAGGTATCGACCCAAAGAGTTCCCATTCTAAGACAAATGACACGTCATAAGTACTCAAAGAAAAAGACACATAAAGATGCTTATACTTATGACATTTCTCCCCCATGGGCAATTGTAAAATTACAAAATTTTCAAAGCCTGAAGGACCTTAGAGATTATTTAGTGCTAAATATGAAAAACATTTTATACTCAAAATTTAAGTAGGTGAACACTTAAAAAAGAATTATGTATGATTTATCATTCACTTACACTTGAAATATAAATTTATTTATAACTCACTTTCACTGAAGTCCCGGTCTTATCATTAAACATCATAAAAACATATTATCACAACCAGTGTAACTGGAGAGAAAGATAGAGACAGGTGCTTCTGCTTTTTATTCAGGTTTATAGGTTTCTTATCTAATCTTTTCTAAGATATGCTTTACCTTCTTTATGGTGCAAATTGTGTATAACCTTATAAAAGCTGTCATTTTGAAATGTTTAGTTTCTGAGGAGAAAACTGTACTTTTTAACTGCACTGAGTTTGTTAAATATGCCTTGTAATAGAATAGAAATTTTCTGATTAGAAAGCAAATCTGATTACTGGTGACACACACATCCATTTAATAAATATTTACTGAATGCATTTTATGAACCAGGCACAGTTAGGGACCTGGGATACACAGAGTAAGATATACCCTGCCATGAAGAACATTACAGCTTAGCAGAAAGGAGAGGTATGTAAGTAAGTTAAAAAACAAGAGCAGGAGGGTAGTAAACCACCTGACAGTTCTCGAACTGTACAGATTGGTAGTTCTTTCTTTGTTTTTGGAAATTGTGGATAAAAACCTGAATATCTACCAGCCTGGAAAAATCCTTCCCATCTTTAAACAATTTTGTACCTTGTTTATGTTTTTCTTATGAAACCTACCACTCTTCATCTTGTTATAGACATTTAAATATTTGTCTTAACTATGTCAGTTGACTGTAAACTCCTTGAAGGCAGAATCTTTATTTTATTAATCTTTGCATCTTTTGCCACTTTTAGAACAACGCTTTCCTTATAGTAGGTACTGAATAAATACTTAAGGTATGAATGAATAGCAAATCCTTCAAAGTCAAAAGCTGGGAGGGAAAAACAAAGTGGCACCTACTCTGCCCTTTTGCTTCTCTAAGCCCTTCAACATTTATAGACTCTCTGTCATGAAGTGACTGCCTCACTGGATAAATAAACCAAACTTTGATGCAAATGGGTTAATATTGGTCACTGGCTAAGCTACTTCCCTGTTATCACAGGGGCCTTCTGGATGTATAATAAATTAACTGAAAGGAATGTCTCAAAAGAGGAGTACTTTAATTCTCTGGAACATTAGCAGGGGTGTGTATGTGTGCATGTGTGTGTGTTCTCAATATTTACTGAGCACCCTGTATGTGTGAAGCAACTTCTTCCCACTCAAGATCCACCCAAAATCACATAGTAGAAACAGTCAGCTACTTCAGAAGGGTTAACTTGGTCCTGTAAATATGAGAAAAACAGTATTTGTCACTAACCTTCTACACACAAGAACAGAATTAATGAAACAGATAATAGCTGCTCTTTTTAAGTCAAAGGAACTACCAAATAACATTAATACACTTAGTTCTGTTGTATCCCTCATCACATGCAGGAGGACTGTGTGTCCATATAAGATTCCTTTTAACAATAGATTATAGTTAAAATGCTTGAAAATCATTGATCTAGGTGATCCAGTGCTCTCGTTTTCAAACCAAAAGTGACAAACAATGGTCCAGGGACAGCACTAGGGACACACACAGAGAGGCACCAGCAGCTGGAGGCACAGGCTGAGGGTGCACAGCATTCAGATGTACAGCTAGGGGCTCTTATGCAGGCCTCCCAAAGACTGGCATGGGGGTGGCCATTTTTAGAAGGCATAAATTTCCAAAATAAATCTGGCAAGCAAACGGTTATGTTTCCTTTTTTCGGTTTGTTTCCATTTTTTAAAGAAACACAATTTCAACTATTTTCTGATGCTGACACCAATGATTTACAAGAAGCTTCAAACCAAAAGCTTCAGAAAATTTAAGAACAGTTATATCTGATTTCTCTTATTTTGCAAGTTACAACCCCGAAGTACTTCTAACTGTCCTGGGCCATTACAGAACTCAACCAGACAAGAAAAAGGATCAAAAAACATTCTGCCTCACATCCCAACCCTCTTCTTGATTCTCAACCTAGCGCAGAACTCTGGTAGAAGAGAAAAAATTTGAGGAAAAAAGTATGTACTTTTGCCTCTTGAAGGTCAGATGGGTTATAGCCTTGCAGCCAGTTTTCACTGAGTGATCCACAAAATCCATTTATGCAGAAGTAGGAAAGAAAGGAAGAGAATAATTTTTTAAAAAGTAAGAAGGTTATAATGAAAAGAATTCAGGTTTTTGGATAGAGGAAATAGCCAAAACTTTTAAAGAAAATTTGGACAGAGTTTTTCCCATAAAGCAAAAACTACTTCATGGCCACAAATACATTC